TACTTGCTTCTCTGATAGCTATAATCCCCAAACATTCAAGTGTAATATCAATCGACATCTTCTGATGCTTTGATCTTGTTCCCCGTCCTTCTCTCTATCCTTTCCTCAAAACACACCTCTTTAATCTTGCTCTCACTCTCTGTGCTTACCAGTGGCACTTCCGACTTGTTTGGGGTGAAATACTTAAAAAATTCTAATTTGTAAGTGCAGGATTCAGTTGTCTTATATGTACACGTGACCGATGATAAGTAAACAAAAATGGACTGTTTTTGCAGGTACGAAAATAGATAAGACGAACAAAAAATGATTCACATGTTGGAAAGAGTAGAAATAGATTTCCTTCTCGGGTATTTATTTATATCAGATTCTTTTCCTTTTTAGGTTGTTGTTGGTGGTGATGGTTGTGATTGTATTTAATTTATCTAAAAAGATATTTACACGGGTCTTGAAATTGTTACGGAACTTTAGCATTGGTGTCGCATTTGTTGAACTGTGTTATTTTTTTTATGATGAATTGTGTTATATACCGTAACTTTGAACACTAATGGGTATGCCCCAATCCTCATAAATACGTTGGATACTATTGTAAGTAGAGGCAAATATGCTGCCTAAGTAGTCCACCACTAGATGTGGTTTACCTACTTCAGGCCGTTGGCGTGTATTTTAATTTGTTGATGATATAAAGATTATCATTTCAATCCCAACCTCCGCTTTGGTTATGTCTCATTCAGTAACCTTTTCTAGGTTACAACAAATACACACACACACACACACACGTATATATATATATATATATATATATATATATATATATATATATATATATATATATATATATAAAAGTGACAATTGAAGTCGACACTCAGAGGTGACAGTCTGTTTCATGCTAAAAGCAATCACCTGGTGGTCTTTCCTCACTTAGTGTTGTCTTCAGTGTTCACTTTTATATTTACATACATCCTATCTCTGATATTGAGCACTTTATCCCATAAATATACCATACCTTAAACTATATATATATATATATATATATATATATATATATATATATAGTCCCATACAAACCACGATAGATTTAGGGTTGTTTTTGTCTAAACGGAAGGCTATTGGTAACGATCGAACAGGATGGTCTTCCAAAACAATCTGGTATTTGAATTTTGGGAAGTAGGTCCCCTCGTATCGTTACAAGTGTCGATAATTTTGAGGTGAATCACTCACAATGCGGGATGTGGCACAAGACCATTTTTTACGTGGGCTTTTCCGAGCCCATAGGCTCATGCAAAAATTGCCCGTAGACCCCATATACACAAGGGCATGCAGTTGTGTACCTCCCCAGATGAGACTCTGCCCTTCGGCATAGCCACGTCTAGGTTCCTTTCCGCCCTCAAGCAGAGAGTCGATGAGCAGAGTCAACTGTAATCGTTAACTCCTCTCACTCATTAAAAGAGTACTGTTTAAATAGTCTTATACCAGTCCATTTTGTGGGGGTGTCCAGCTACTCCACAACGTTTAGCGTTTCCTTCCTGTTTTATATCTCATCGATACATTATTTCTCTTTCATTTTGCACAAGCATCATTCTTTTTCAATGATTTATTTGATTTCTATTGTATTTCTTTTCTTCATTTTATTTAATCATTCATTTTTCCTTCAGAACCTTCAGTGAATATTCGTCCTTCTTTCTATTAAATTTATCTTTTATTACTCTCCCTCATCATTTTGTCCTTTTCTGTATCTTTTTACTTGTGTCCAATTCACCATTGTATTTCGCTGCTTTCCAACCTTCATTTTCTTTCATCTTTAATATTCATGTCGAAAGGCGATATCGCGTTATCAACATGAAAGATTATTTATGGCAATCTTCTTTTTTTCATTGATTTCTCTCATGCTATCTCTTACGAGTTGAGTTAATCTTAATCCCTGAAAGGTATTCATAAGCACAGCATCTTTTAAGCCTGACTTTGAGATATTATGCCTAGCATAAAAATGTCAAATCTTAGTGTCTGTCTTTAAAACATTGCATTTTGCATTACATGATGGCATTAAGTGGTTTCTCCTGACAAAGCTTCATATCAGACTCTTTTCCCTTCTAAGGAAACAGTAATGAATCATTGTTCCGATTTTTAAATGACTCTTAAAACTGATAGCATTTCTGATAACTTATGCTATTATTATTGCATTGTAATTTGCTTTCTCTGCTAATTGTTTGCTTACTGACCACAGATCTATCAGGAAGGTACAATAAAAACATTTTAAATTACAAAAATTGGGACATTCATTAATACTTGTAAAATCCCTTTTGTATTATCATGAATTATCAACTGCAGAATTTAAAACATAACATAATAAAGTTGGATGCGAAGGTGGCAGTTCCGATTTTTTTTTACTATTGTGATCCTCGGCGTCAGTAATTGAATGATATTAATTTTCAAATCTCCTCAAATATCAAGCAAAATATTTAATATTTTTGAAGATCACAGAATTACTGCAGTTTAAATTACCTAAATTTACAATCTCATTTCTTGGGACATTTTTTTCATGTACACGATTAGGTAAGTATCTGATCGTTCTTGCCATATTTTCAGCAGTTCCCAAATGAAGTCCTAGTATTTTCCATTTCTTTTCCATTTATTTTTACTCTATTATCCATAGCAATATCCTTCTAGAAAATATTTCTTTCCAGTGTTAACAGGAACTAAATCCAATTGTTTTCTGGTAGCTGAACTAAATGTAAAATGTTTTCTGGTGGCCAAAATAAGTGTAAAATGTTTTCTGGTGGCCAAACTAAATGTAAAATGTTTTCTGGTAGCCAAACTAAATGTAAAATGTTTTCTGGTGGACGAACTAAATGTAAAATGTTTTGTGCAGTTTTTTATCTTCCAGATTTGTGTTTATAACATCTTTTCCCTGGTGAAATCGAAGCGCTTTGCACTATCCGCAATTTATAAATATACCTACCCAGTGTCATATAGGAATAAAGTGTCACTGCCGACAATTGGTGTTGAACACGGATCGCCAGAGTGGAAGCACAGTCGACTTCATCTTGGAATAATTATATCACGCGACGAGTAAAGGAAAAATATTGGGTGGGTGCATAATTATCAGGCGATTTTTAAACACTATTTATTATGAAAAAACAAAAACATAACAGTTGAAGAATAACATTTTAATTTAGTATGATGATCGACACGCACTTTTATAACCTGAAAATAATATATTTTTATTAAAAAAAGTAAAGAAAACAGAAATTTTTATTAACAAAGAACCCGCCTTCAAAAAGCCTGATAATTATGCACCAACCCAATTTATGTATATGGGAATTAGCAGCGTCTGATTGTGCATTGTTTGATGGTGTTACTATTATAGTATCTGTGATTTACAAAGACTTTCTTACAACCAGCATTACAGAACCCAGTCATATTTGATTTTTGATGAATTCAGATTTTGTTCAAAGAAATTCGCAGATGTGTTTGTAGCACTCTCCCAACTTTTCATAAAACGAATTCACAGTTTTTCTATTTTGTTCTATTTTTTTTCTTTCTGAAGTATAAAATTCTCTGCTCGATTCACTCTGAACGCTTGGGATAAGAGATTCGATTTGAAACTTATCTCTTCCCCTTTTTCATACCCATATCCACGACATTACCCTTAAGATAGTTTGTAATCGTCTTTTAAATTCTCGGTGTATTTCCTTCCTTCTTCTTTCCTTGTTGAGACGCTCACTCTTATTTTTTCTTTATTATCAAATTCCTTCATTGCAACAGTCAGGATTTTCCCGTTGTTTCACGTGTGCTGTCGTTGTTTATGTAGAACTTTTTGCATTCTCATTATTACATCTGTTGTAACCTAGAAAAGGTTACTCAATGAGGAATAAACGGAGGTTGGCAATGAAATAGTAATATTTATAAAATCAACAAAATACAATACTTGCCAGCGGCGTGAAATAGGTAAACCACTGCTAGTGGTGGACTACTTAGCATATTACTTCCACTTACAATAGTGTCCATCATATTGATGAGGATTGGGACATATTCATTCGGGTTCATAGGTACGGTATATAACAGTAATACAACCAAAATCATTCATAATTATCTACATTCAGCATAATATCTACTAACTACATAACGTGTTATGATGTGACAGTTTAGTTTCCAATTTGTTTCCACTCCAATAAACATAGAAACTGGATAATTCGACCAATAAAATGGTATCTCCTAGAAAAATCAAGCAAGAGCCTTTTTGGCTTTCCCAATAAGCTATGTTGCTGTTGTAACCTAGAAAGGTTTACTGAATGAGGAATAACCAAAACGGAGGTTGGAAATGAAATGGTAATCTTTATAACATCAACAAAATACAATACTCGCCAGTGCCGTGAAGTAGGTAAACCACTGCTAGTAGTGGAATACTTAGACAGCATATTACCTCAACATACAATAGTGTCTAATGTATGTATGAGGATTGGGACATATTCATTAGTGTTCATAGGTACGTATATAACAATATCATAGTTCTTCGATCTATCGATTTATGCTTCCATCTTTTCAAACCTAGAAACGATACTTCAATATCTCATTATTCATATTATCCACGTGCATCATACCTTTTTTTGTTTATTGTTTCCGCTGGTTTCTGCATCCTTTGTGCTGAAGCGAATTCCATTTTTTTCTTATCTGTTCCTCCATTTCTTTCCAAGTCATCGAATCTTATTAACTGATTTTCGACTCTTGTCATTTCTGTTTACCTAATTTATTTCTTATCATACTATTATTAATCTATTCCCTACTTCATCAAGTGTCATTCATTAACAAACACGAACCTAAAACAAATCAGAATGATCAGAATCCAATTTATCTTTTTCCAATACATCCCTTTATTCTTCATGAAAGCAATTTTGAAGACATTCTTTTCAACCTATAAATTTATTCTTTATGTTTCCCCCAAAAAAAAAAACCAAAAGAAAACCTTGTCATTAAAAATATATATTTATTTAGCAGGACGCATTTTATACTTTCACCTTCCTATGAATATGCAGAGAATCGTCGTTTAGATACCGGCACTTTTGAATTCCCAGACTTGGGATATGTGTCAAGAATGTAGAAAAAAAAAATGAAGCAAAAAAAGAATAAAACGTGACGTCTTTTGTAGCTGACAACCATTTTTAATTGGACGGATACTTCTTGAATCAAATATGTACGAAACGTCGAATACAAGTCTGTCTATAAGTTTTTAATTCTCGCTGAATCAACGAACAGGTTTATATCTGTATATGTACATAGGTTAAATCCTTATGGTAATATCTCGCTATTTCCCTTGAAAGTAAGCACGAGAATGAAAAGACAAAATGTTAGTATATATTAATATTCACATCAGTTTTGAAAGTTGCGTCAGTAAAAAACATGTTCACCATTTAATATAGGTAACAGACCATGGCCATTAAGATCGGTTAACTTTTCCCACTCCAATTACAAAACAATTGTTTTAACCATCATTTCCCCGTATTAATTCATATACATAAAGTAAAGATAAACAAATTAAATAATAATGTATAATGTTAATATATAGTCTTTTATTCTACTTGGTAAAATAAAATAGGTCTTTTGTGTTATATGACATTAAGTAAATTCTAAGAGGAAAATAAATAATTATATTTTAATATTAATAAAAAATTGAATAAAATATACACTCACAGTTTCTTCATATGTAGATTACAAAAAACTTTTTGAATATCATGTGCACCAAGTAAATAGAGCATAGTGCAAAATACATCATTATAATGTTTATTTATATAAAATGTTTCACGTAGGTAACAAGTGATTCTATAGTCCGACAATCAAAACCTACAATGTCAGTATCATTTGCAGTAAATTAGGATTATTCATCGTCATTATGCAATGACGTAGGAGATTTCTGTTATTCAAATTCACTTATTTACACATGAAATTGTTGAAAAAAAATAAAGGAAATTTGGATATGTTCCACTTCGACGACGGTTAAAATAGACCAATAATAGAAATATGAAAATAGCATTTTGAAATTGAATGTATTTTTAATAAAATATGTGTGTAGGTTTAAATAAATCGAAGCATACTGATAAGGTTGTCTTAATCAGACAAGTTAAACTACAAATGATATGCAGTGGAAATATATTTCCTTTCTTTTCTATCACAAACAAAAATGTTAACTTTTCTTTATAATTAGATTTAAATCAGTTTTATTAACTTTTTTTTCCTATCAGCGAACATACACCATTGAGCAAATTCATTAAAACAACTGCTTTAGTTTCCTTTCTTTCACCACACGGTCAGTTTTAGACCCACTGTAGTGACAGGGGGTAAACGATTTCTATTTTTCCTCGAATTTGGTCATTTATAGTGATGTGTAGTAATATGAATCTATTTTCGGGGTGTATGATGAAATTTGATTGAACTTGAATATATCCCGTCATCCATGATTGCATCAGATTGTCATCACACCCAAACACTATTGTCTTGGTTGTCCTACGGTTATTGTTTGCGTTGGACGTTACTCCAAGGAAGCGTACGAAAATTTTAACGCTGCACAAACACACTGGTAATGCTTACCAGTGAGCAAATCATAGTAATACAGACTGGCCCGGAAACTCTCCCGATTTAAATTCAATCGAGAATCTGCAAAGACCGAATTCGTTGAATGGACATACGAAGTACTAACATGTGCAATGGGGTATGTTTCATTGGAAATTACGAAAAAGTACGTAAGTAATAACGGAATTATTCGCTTTGTTTCGATTAATTTGCACAAGCGCGTATGTTTACTTTAAATGAGTTCCTAGTGATATTGAATGTGCAGGTTCTTCTTAGCATTATCTATATTGTCTGGAATGAAAATGACTTTCTTAATAAATACGTTGGATGATATCATAAAAATATAGCTGAATTTTATATAACTCAAATTGTAGAATGTTGCCTTGAAAATAAACACTTCTTAAATGAAGAGAATCCTTTTTTTTTAATTCTGTAAAACAATGAAATATATCCGAGTTCGTTACAATGAGTGTAACGTAAATAGAAAGAAAACGCCCTTCTTTTTTATTTGTAGAATAAAATCAGAAAAATCTGACAAATGAAGAATACGAATATCAATTTGTAAAAAAAAAATATAGTTATGATCTAAATGTGGACGTAATTTATTTGACAGTCGAGCACGTCATACAAAATATGTCGCTTGAAATCGGGAAATAGCAATGAAATTTCATGAATAGTAAGGCATGATTAATATTTACATATCATTTACTGCTATACTTAACCGAAATATAATGATAGCTGTACACCGGAAGGAAGAAAACTTACGTGTGGCTAACGTAAGCCTCTTTAAAATCTTGACCTATCTTATCTTTTTATTTGTTCTTCTTTACATCATGACAGGAATTAAAGAATAAATTCATCCCTTTCCACTATTTTGTAAGTTAACTGTTCGTTAACCACTCAGCTAATATATGAATAATGAGATAGATAGATAGATAG